CTTGGTATGCATCAATTTGTTCACAAACCAACACGCGAATCCAATATTTTAGACCTTGTTTTTTCTAATAACAATGCTCTTTTAAGTGAAATTCCTATCGAGTGCCTTTTTAGTACCAGCGACCATAACTCAGTCCATTTTTCTTTAAACATTAATGATAAATATCAGTACGAAAAGAAATCGGAATATTTTTATGATTTCATCAATGCTGATATAGATAACTTTCTAATTTACCTTTCGAATATTAATTGGGACTACGAGTTTTCTTATGTATTCAATATTGATGAATATTGGAACATTTTCTATAATCATATGAGAATTGGGATAGACCGTTTTGTTCTGGTAAGAAAAATACGTCATAGTAAAAAGAGTCATTATTACCCTAAATATATCAAGAAAATGTCAAAAATTATTTTTATGGAAAAGAAATTCCGTTAATAAAACCATTCTACATAAACAAGCTTACAAAACATACGCCATCAAATGTAAACAAACCTTGTTTGCTTATCTCAAAAGAATTGAACTCAAATTAGTTGATGACCATAAACTCAGTAAGTTCTTTAACTATGTTAATAATAAACTAAATAATCATAAAGGGAACTACCCTATAAAGAACAAAGACAATAATTTCTAATAAACACTTTGGAAGTGTATTTATGGACGATAACAACTATTCACCAAATATTACTAGTTTTGTTAACGACTCGATAAACATTGAAGACATTAATTTTTCTGTTGAGACGGTTTATTCAACTTTAATCAATCTCAAACCGAGTACATCTTATGGTCCGGACGGAATACCGAACATTCTTTAGAAAAAGCTAGCTCTTGTTTTATGTATCCCAGTTTCGTTTATATTTGATGCCAGCTTAAAGTCAAATAGTCTACCACAACAGTGGCTTCAAGCTTTTGTTTCTCCAATTTTTAAAAGAGGAGCAACATCAGACCCTAATAATTATAGACCAATTTCACTCATATGCACCTGTTGTCGTGCAATGGAAAGAATTATTAACTCGGATATTATCAAATACTTGACTCTCCATAACTTAATAGCCAATAATCAACATGGTTTCCTCAAGAAACGCTCTACATGCACTAATCTTTTAGAATCTGTTAATGATTGGAGTACTGCACTAGACAATAATCTAACAACAGATGTTGTATATATCGACTTTCAAAAGGCATTTGATTCTGTATCACACCCCAAATTGTTAGCCAAACTAGTTTTATTTAACATAAGAGGTAATTTAAAAAATTGGATTACTGCATTTCTTAACAAGAGGAGTCAACAAGTTAAGGTTGGAACTTCATTATCAAACCCAACTTGCATCGTTAGTGGAGTTCCTCAGGGCAGCGTGTTAGGCCCAACATTATTTTTACTATATATCAATGATATAACCACTATAGTCAACTCTCTTGATTGCTCTTTAAAACTTTCATTTTGCAATACGGACCATAGCCATTATTTAGCTATTGCTCTTAATAATGTAGTACTTTGGTCAGAAACATGGCAACTACCTATTTCTACCAGTAAGTGTTTTGTTCATAGGATTGCACCTGTTTCATCGAGAAAATTTGTTAACTTTAACTATAAGTTAGGAGATCATATTTTAGCTTGGTCTTCTATTCCGAAAGATCTCGGTGTAACTCTGGACTCTCAACTAAACTATAAAAAGCACATCTCAAACATTGTACATGCAGCTAATACTAGAGCATATCTTATTTTAAAATGCTTGAAGTCTCGCGATTCTAGAATCTTAGTAAAAGCCTTCAATACATATATTAGGCCTATATTAGAATATTGCTCCCCAGTTTAGTCACCATATCATGTTGAACTAATAAAGATTGTTGAGAACGTGCAAAAACGTTTCACAAAAAAAATCCTGCACTTAGGCAATTTAACCTACGATAACTGACTTCAGTTGCTTGATTTGGAGTCGCTTGAATTAAGGCGAGTAAAGCATGATTTTTTGATTTGCTACAAAATTCTCCATAACTTGGTCTTAATTGATAAATCTGTGTTCTTTCTTTTTGACAACAAAAACAACATTCGGGGACATAAGTATAAATTGCACAAACAACATTGTTGACTAGATATTTGCAAAATTTAGTTTCTCTGACCAAGTTGTCAACATTTGAAATCAGTTGCCTTTCGATGTTGTTAATGCCGATAATATCAACATCTTTAAGAGGAAAATTAACTCAATCAATTTTGAAAAGTTTTGTTGGCGTTGATAAATTATATATTCAATGTTGTACGCTGTTACATAATTTAATTTTTTTTTTTTTTTCGGTGGGCACGCTGTTAGTGTCCATCAATATTGGACCTGCGTGTCCTTTAGAACATGTATATTATCTGTTCTAATAAATACAAATACAAATACAAATATATTAAATTATTAACTAAAATAACATATTTTTTAAATTTAGCTTATGTAGTCTTATTAAAATACTAGTTAAACTAAGAAATAAATTCTAACTTTAAAAAAAATGAAATGCTTACAATCTCTGTTCTGCTATGACATCATTATAATACACTACTTTGTCACTACAATTTTCCGCTATGTCACTGATTTCTTGATTTTTGTAATAAAGATTATTCTCAATATCTATAGATTTCAATCGAACATTTGAAAAAGATTTTTTTGAACATGATGCAGATATACCATTATTATAAAATTGAACTAGATTTCTTTTATTTTCCATTCTAATAATATTATCTTGTATTTCATCATCTGTAAGTATTTCTGCATTAGCAAGGTTGTCTACAGCTATGGCCAAAAAAATGTTGAGAAGTATGTCTATGACATATAGTTAAATCGAAAATAATTCAATCAAAACATAAGGTTTATAATTGTTTTAAAAAATCACACTAAAAAATTTAAATAATTTTTAAATATGTCAAAGGAGTTTAATTTTTTTATTAAATTTCATAAGAAAATGTGTTATAATGAATTGTAAAAATAAATAAAGATATAAATTATAATATATAGTTAATATAATATAAGTCTTCTACAAAAAAATTAAAAAAAAATTTTTGTCACTGTTGACATAATATAAATACTTTTTGAAACAAATGGTGCTGTATGAATATAATTTAATAAAGTTTATATAGTTAACTCAGTAATGAAATTATTGTATAAACTTTATATTATAAACACTATATGCAGAGTAATGGAATCATTCTATAGCTATTAGTATTATTAACATAACTAGTTATTCTATAATTGTAATAATTTTGGGTTTAAAAATCAATATATATCTATTGGGTTTAAGAATCTATCTATCTATATATATATATAGAAAAGATACAGTTGCCAAACAAAACTAGAAATAAAAAGTATACACTAACAAAATAAAACATCTTATCATCTTTATACACTTTCATTCCATTATACATAACACTACTCCAGTCTGCTCCATTAATTACCTATTAAGAAATTTGATTAGAATATAAATTTAAAAAGTATTTAAAAAAAACTTAAAGTTGCTAAAGACATATAAAAGTCTTTTTGTTCATAATAATTCAGCATAAAAAATGATTTCTACCTAAAATATATGTATAAGTTATTTGAAGTTAAATTACAAATTACAAATATTATGTACTCTCTGTACCCTTAGTTATTTTACCTCATGTACCATACAACTCTCTGTATTCTCGTGTACTTTGCTACATGCAACTTTGCATGCAACTTTGCTGCACCTTCATGTAACTAACTTCATAGACCCTACACCTGTATTTAATCTCATATATTATACACTTCACTGTACTAACAAGTAGCTCACCTCATTTTCTATAAATACTTCTATGCATCCCTCTCACCTCCAAATTGTTATATATTTTGATATATTATTATAATTTCATTTAGCAATATATTTTTGTTTTATAAATTTTTTTATGTTTAAAGTTGTGTGTATTGAATTTTTTTTTTTAACTGGCTTATTCACACAGAAACAAGGAAAAAATATTTTATGCATTACATCATGCAATACTGTCACATAAAAAAAAATATTTTATGCATTCATTATGCAATACTGTCACATAAAAAAAAATTATTTTATGAACATCATGCAATACTGTCACATAAAAAAAAATACTGTCACATAAAATTTTTTTAACTCAAAACATTTTTAATAGAGATTATTTAAAGAATGAATTAAAAAATTAATTTTTTTTCCATGAAATATAAAACATCATCATCAGCATGGGTATAATATAACTTTCAAAAAATATGCTTAAACATCCTATTTACATTTGTTCAAAACATTTTTTCAGAACTTTAGTTATCAGGTAAGTTTGGGTTTTCTGGAGCTGAAATTGATACTCATTTGGTGAATAAACAATTCAATTGATTTCAATACAATGTTTGAATTCACATAAATAAAAAAGTAATGGTACTTAATTACCGAAAAAAAACTTTTTTTCACTTTTTATTTGTGTAATAGGAGTAACCTTAACTTGCTATATTTGTAAAGCAACAACAGATTAATAAACATTTAAAAGTAAAAACAGATTAATTATCAATTGAAAGCAACAACAGATTAACAAATAATTAAAATTAACAACAGATTAATAAACATTTAAAAGTAAGAATTATAAAGGGTAGTGATTGTCGAAAGCAATCTCTCTTTTTGTTTAAAAAAATTTATTTAATTAGGTTTTAAAATTGAGTTCTATTTAAATGTGTTAAACAATTTAGCAAAGTTTTGTTGGTTTCTTAGAATGATTGCACTAAACCTTATTTGCAGTTGTTTTTTGCCAAAAAAATGTTTACTTGTTAAGTTTTTACTAAAAAAACTAATTTAGCATTTGTGGGAGGATGGGGGAGGGGGAGGGGGCCTAAAACTGTAGAATAGTAATCCATTGTGTCATAAATAATCCTAAAAATCATTTCTTTTCATATTTACAGTCAATTTTTAAGAGATTTATGTAAATATATTACTAGGAGATCCAATATCTATACAAAGTTTTTATTGACACTTAAGAATGACATTTAAAACGATTTATTATCTGGTTTTTAGAATTGTAATTTGGAACATTGCATGCATAATCTGGGTTATAATTATTAATTTGTTTGTCTTTCAAATAGAAATCAGCCTTTTCTTTAAGTTATAGACTTTTTATTTACTTTTTAATGATGCTCATAGGTTGGTGGGGTACCTTGATAAATCATAATCATTTTGGTAATTAATAAATTTTATTTTGTAGGTATAAATTTAATCTACAAATTAAACCAATCATCTGAAAAAAGGTGCAAAATTGTTAAAAAGCAAAAGCAAAAGTTTATTTGAAAACAAAATTTGAAAATAAAAATCGTTTACTAAGGAAATTTAATTCTAAATTAAGTTATTTTAATGTAAGTAGTAGATGCAAGTAAAAGTCTTATCATTTTAAATTAATAAGCAGAGAAACATATTAAATTCACATTTGAACCAGTATTTTACGTTATCGACTCAAATTTTTTAATTTTTTTATTTAACAAGTATTTTTTTTTTATTTGTTTTTATATGCATATATTTTGTGTATTTTGTGTAAGTTTTTTAAAAATTTCAAGTGCAGAAGTTCAAAGGTAAAGTTTAAAGTTTTTTTTTAGTGTAAACTCAAAATATTGGAAAAAATATGCCTAAAGGTAAGTCAATAAGTGTAGAAAAAAAGGCAGTAATACTTACTTTGCTTCAAGAAGACAGTTAGTAAAATAGCTGAAATATTAAATCTGAGTAAATCAATGGTTAGTTATACAACTCGTCGATACTGTGAATCTAGAAGTCTAGGCACAGTTCCACAAAAATTGGATGATGGACAAATGGAAACAAGTACTCTGGACTGATGAGTCAAAATTTAAAGTTTTTAGAAATAAACTAAGAATTCTAAACTCTATGTCTGGTTCCAACAGTAAAACATGGTAGAGGCTCTGTGATAGTTTGGAGTTGTTTCTCACATATTATATCTAAATAATTTCTACATTATTATGTAAAAATTATTTAGAATCAAAAAAAGCTGAAAATGTTTAACATGTAATAACCTGGCCTCCCCAAAGTCCAGACCTGAACCCCATTGAGTTACTATTGAATGAACTATAAAAGTTAGAATTGTAAGTCTAACATCATATTAATGAAATTAGTATGTATATATATATATATATATATATATATATATATATATATATATATATATATATATATATATATATATATATATATATATATATATATATATATATATATATATAAATGCACAACCTCTTATTTGATGAGGTCTGATATAAAAGTATATAGTTAAAATTTTTTTGCAAACTGAAAATGGGAAGTGGTGCCTTAAAACCTATTTCGGAACCTTTAATTGTCTAAAATTTGTCTATTAACTTAATCTTGTAATTCTTTCATAAAAAATACTGCTATAAATTGATCTAAAAACAAGTTATATAAAGTATTATAATGATACAAAATGGACAGTTTACAGAAGACTGCAAATTTAAGACACAGAAAGTACAAGCAAATTTAGATTTACCTCCCTCAGCATTATTTACCCAAAATCGCTCCTAAATGCCTATTTTGATTTCAAAAACATTTTATTTGCTATAATTTCAAGTAAAATTTTTATAAGTAAACCTTAGCTCAGAAATTAAATTTGTATAAATTTAATAATAGTAATGACATGGTTGGCCATTGTTGGGTGGGAAAGGGTTAGAAAAGAATAGGGAGCGGGTATTTTGGCTAATACTTTCAATTTTTTAGTTATTTGGCTTTGAGCACTTTATAATTATTAAATTTCTGTTATATTCTTTCTGTTATAGTGAAAAAGTATTAAAATATTACATAAAAAGATGACTACTTCAAACAAAGCAACACCCTCAACTACAAATGTTTGACTAGTTGGACATATTCTCTCCACAATAGATGGACCGAGTCAGTTGCCAACAAGTGGTGTTGCCCCTATGTAGAGTTTTTTATGAAATAATAGTTAAAAAGTCAACTCTTTCAACATCCTGCAACACAGTTGCAGACGAAGTTATGATTGTTTGGCTTAAGGCTACTATTCCAACTATAGCAAAGCCTCATGTAGTTGTTAAACTAAAGAGTATTCACAAGCAACATGTTCAAGTGTCTAAGCACAGAAGTAGAAAATCAGCTACTCAACACAACTATGAAGAAACATTCACCACCAAGATGTTTACACTTTTTGATATTGCCCATAGTGAATGGGATTGTCTCATCAAGATAAATAAAGATAAACAATTCCTGATAGAGAAAGGCTACCAAAAAATGTTAATGACATCAGAAGACTTAATGTATAAGAAAGCAGTTGTAAAATACAGAAAACACAAGCTTGAAGAAAATAAAGACGCTATGAACAACATAAAGAAAATAAAGTTAAATCTACAGAAACACTAATGGATGACAAATCAGATTACTCTTTGGATGAAAATTCTGACTGTGATGCGTCAATTTAACACAAAAAGTTTTTAATTGTCGAAAAATTCTAAAACATTCTACTATGGGCACTAGTCAACAATTACAGTATCGAAACATTGTATTCTTGACAATCAACTCTTTCATGCAGCATTAGACCGAACAAAAATAACACCATGACAAGCAATGATGTTTGTCTTACCAGCCCTAGCTGCAATCGGAATTTATGTAAACTAGCTGAGATTGGACCCGTAAAAATATGGGTCTTTGTATATCTATTCCAAACCAAACTTTTCTATACTTTTTTCTTATATATCCTAGCTTTCCGGATCCGTAAAATACAGATCTTTACCAATTGACATATCTATTCCTCGTCAATTATTTATATACATATTCTTTATTTACTTCAATGTTTTTTAGTAAAATAATTTATTTTGAAAAAAACTTAAGAGCAAAAAACTTAACATGCACACCTTTTCCACATACATAAAGCTTAAAAGAGACTTGATTAAATTGATAGCTCAGTGATTAAATACACTGTCATCAGTGTTATATATTCACTTATATATTCATAGCAAAAAAATAATAATATTGAAACAAAGATTTCTAAAACTCAAATTAAGTTCTCATTTTATAGATATATAGATATACGCAATTTTTCAATACTAGCTAAGATCGGACCCGTAAAAATACGGGTCTTTGTATATCTATTACAAACCAAATTTTTCTATACTTTCTCCTTAAATATCCTAGCTTTCCAGATCTGTAAAATACACGTCTTTACCAATTTTTATATCTATTTCTAGCCAAAAATTTCTATATCAATTCCTTATTTCTATATTTTTTAGTAAAATAATTTATTCTGAAAAAAAAAATTTAAGAGCAAATATCTTAACATGCACACCTTTTCCGCATAGGTAGAGCTTATAAAAGGCTTATAATTAGGTTTGTTTTTTGGCTAAATGCATTTCTTTGATAGCGCAGTGATTAAATGCGATGTTATCAGTTTTGTTTTGGAGG